AGTGACCCACCCATCGCAGATCCGAGAGCCGTGGCACACTACAGCCGATCCACGGCGTGGCGCGAACCAAGACTTGTTCAAAAATAAGATTATTTACTTATGTTAGTGAAATAGCGTCAGTTTTTTCGTTTACCCTTTTCCAGGCCCGGAACTGCAGTTAGGCGCTTCGTTTGCCCTCCTGATGGTATCAGTACCTGATTTAGCTCTTATTTCAACAACTGTCACTAAATGAAATAACATAATGTAATTAACTACTTTACTCATATTATTTACTAAAATAGATAAATCTAGGTTCGGACAAACGAGCTTCGGACAATCGGGGCGCCTCCATTGAAAAGCATTGGGATAATAGAGATTTACACACTAGGTATGTATTTTGCAACAGTTATACTCCTGCTGTAAGTAAGTTGTGAATGGTGAGTTTGCGCAAATAGGAGGTCCACATAAAAAACTTCTGTTTAATGTAAAAATGTTTTAATGAAACACGAAAGTCTTTAGATCTGAAATCAAATTTAACTACCATGTTTGTTGAAGCCAATATCACACACACAATATCATGCAGCACTCACCCTCATAATGACAAGTGGGAAACATCAATTTAAAATGCAGATTTACAATAATTTTTTGCATTAAGTAAATTATTTTTAACATACAAGCTACTCATTTCTCTCTAGCAGCATTTGTGACAGATGAGTCAGGGGGCAAACAATCATTTATTGGTAACATATTGGTAAATGATAGGTCTAGTTTAGAGGGTGCTGGGATCTTTAATCCCACTAGTGTAACCAATGGTACAAAAACTTAATGTCAGAATGTTCAGGTATATAATAAGACTGGCATTTAAAAAAAAAAAGGTGGGGCTGGGGACTCCCAACATCCTCCAAACAAAACACAACCAAACTGTAGGAAGCAGAACTCTCCAATTTTATGGTTGCACGTGGTATGCCAAAATAATTTAAAGCTTTACAATTTTAGCATGAAAGATTTTCTAATAAAAACACAACAGAAAAACAGAGTCTTTTGAGACACTGTTTCAAAAGAGGTTGGTTTGTTTCAAAGGTCATTCTTTTGCTGTACTTGGACACTGAGCTCAGACTTGTTCAGCATAAAACAAATCCTCCGACCCACAGTCATGACTTGCTATACTTAAGATTCTTTTGCATTGGCTATTACAAACGACCCTTTATTTAAAACACACCCGACTGAACAATGAAACACAGCCAATGATCCTACACAGTGAATCTGTGTAGGAGCAAATACACTGTAAAAATAATTAACTTCCGTTTCTTAATTGATGTACTGTGCAAGCCAGCGGAAACCTTCACCATATCCCTGGCGTTTGAGAACTGAGCACATGAATAATTCAAGTGGCCTTCCCCGAATTTCTGATCTTGGAATCTTGCCCTGAAAAGAATATGTTGTGAAAAATCATCAACTAGAGAAATTTTTAAGTGGTAGATAATTTGCTTTAAATTTAGATGACATACTTTTCCTGTTGTACTGTGAAGGCCAAAACATCCACGAAGTTCTTCTTCAGAGCATGCTTCTGGTCTGTCAATCTTGTTTCCAAGAACAAGAACAGGACAGTTTGCAAGTGTTTCATCTGTGAGTAGAGCATCAAGCTCAACTTTGCTCTCTAGTAAACGAGAACGATCACAAGCATCTACCAAGAACACCATGGCATCAACAGCAGGAAAATAGTCCCGCCATACTCGACGAGCTGAAAGAGGAGAAAAACAGTTTGTGAAACTTTGTGTTTTGTTTTCAATAACACATATTTAATGGAAAAGTATGCAGTATTTAAACTTGCCTTGTTGATGTCCTCCCAGATCAAATGTAGTGAATTTCATGTTGCCTATTGAAAGCTCTTCAGATGCTAGAAAAAGTAAGTGAAGAATAATTTAAAAAAACAAAAACAAGGATCTATGAATCTAGAGATATTCTTGTATTTGCAATACACAGAAATAAATAGAAATGATTACACCATGATTCTTTTCAGATATTTAAATAATCAACATACTTGGATGAAGAGTTGGCACGTGCTGGGCAAGCCGATCATCTTTCAGCATATGCAAGAGGGTAGTCTTGCCAGCATTGTCAAGACCTAGGAAAAGTAGCTTTCCAGACTTGCTGTAAAGACCTAAAAATAAAATACGAAAGGTACATTTTGAAGCATTTACTACAAGAACATATATTTACTTGTCATTAATCTCCAATAAGTCTTACCTAAGTACCCAAGGACTCCGGTAATCCAGTCCCAAAGAAACATGATGATTTAACTGAAATTGTGTAAGAACAGGATAAACAATTATAAAGACAAAAAAATAAAATGAAAACGTTTTTTCCAAAAACTGCAGAATGAACTCCAAAACAAGAAGTTGGATTTGGCATTGACCCAGTACTAACCCACAATCAAGAATTTTAATGCAACAAGGAAACAAAGCCTTCACTCCAAAAAAATATTGTTAGAAATATCCTAAACTGGCTTCTTATGAAAACGTTTAACAAACAACGAAACCGATCTATGACGCACTTAACCCTGCTAGTCTATGAATAACAGCTCAAAGTGAAAACACAACCATAGTCGCAAATTACAGGCCACATTACGGAAGAGCAAGATAAGAGAATGCACTTACACAAGTTTTACTATTTCTTCAATTAAACACACAGAACTTCAGTAACACGCAGCTGCAACTTTGTTATTGTCAAATCAATTGAATGTGTTATGTGTTCTGTGTGAATCTGAGAACTGTGCCAGTCATCATTTCTGACCTGACTTCTGACTACTCGCACCACCTACACTTGGAAGAGTTGGGAAGGTCTTTGCAAGAAAAAGAAGAGGAAAAAGTTGGCCAGATAGCAGAAGACGCGAAACGTCAAAATAAACTTTCGTGACTCGAAAACAGCCTGCAAACTTTTACTAGGGATACTGACTCCTACAATTATTGTAACTTGCTTAAAAACGAACTCTAGTTGAAGATAATAAACTTCACGTTATATTGGCCGTGACAGTCGTAGGTTATGCCACTGTTGTGAGCTGTTTGTGTGTTCGATAAGTTGTAGGATGGTTGGGATGTGATTCTGCTAGGACTCCCGTACTTTCACAACCAAAAACTCCCGACGCTCCTTTTTTCATCCTTTGAACCATGTGGGTAATGAAATTAATCAAAAGCGCTCACTGGCACTCACCTTATAAATTACCAGGATAAAACGTTAATTCCTCCTTTATTTCAACATATACTTCGACACAGTTTACTTAGAAATATGATACTTGGAGATAAAACAGGAGACAATCAAAAGAAAGAAACTAGAAAAACAATTCATGGACTAAACAAAGGTTGGGG